TTCAAATCAGTTTCAGTTAGTACAAGAGTGGTAAATTGTTCCATTATTGTCTTTCCCTTAATTACTGTCCTGTTCTTCAAATCAGTTTCAGTTAGTACATGAGTGGTAAATTGTTCCATTATTGTCTTTCCTGTAATTACTGTCCTGTTCTTCAAATCAGTTTCAGTTAGTACATGAGTGGTAAATTGTTCCATTATTGTCTTTCCTGTAATTACTGTCCTGTTCTTCAAATGTTTCAGTTAGTACATGAGTGGTAAATTGTTCCATTATTGTCTTTCCTGTAATTACTGTCCTGTTCTTCAAGTCAGTTTCTGTTGGTACAAGGGTGTTTTCTTCAAATCAGTTTCAGTTAGTACAAAATTTTTTTTTATTCCAAGCCAAAAAATATATATACAAATATATGGTAACCATACAGTGTTGCCACCAAATATATCATAACCATACACAGTGTTGCAACCAAATGTATCATAACCATACACAGTGTTACAACCAAATATATCATAACCATACATAAGTGTTACAACCAAATGTATCATAACCATACATAAGTGTTACAACCAAATGTATCATAAACAAAAGTGTTGCAACCAAATGTATCATAACCATACACAGTATTGCAACCAAATGTATCATAACCATACACAGTATTGCAACCAAATGTATCATAACCATACACAGTATTGACAACCAAATGTATCATAACCATACACAGTGTTACAACCAAATGTATCATAACCATACACAGTGTTACAACCAAATGTATCATAACCATACATAAGTGTTGCAACCAAATCTATCATGTATCATAACCATACAGTGTTGCAACCAAATATATCATAACCATACACAGTGTTACAACCAAATATATCATAACCATACATAAGTGTTACAACCAAATATATCATAACCATACACAGTGTTTCAACCAAATATATCATAAACATACACAGTGTTTCAACCAAATATATCATAACCATACACAGTGTTGCAACAAAACATATCATAACCATACACAGTGTTACAACCAAATGTATCATAAACAAAGTGTTACAACCAAATGTATCATAACCATACACAGTGTTGCAACCAAATGTATCATAAACAAAGTGTTCCAATCAAACATATCATAATCATACACAGTGTTACAACCAAATATACCATAACCATACACAGTGTTTCAACCAAATATATCATAACCATACATAAGTGTTACAACCAAATGTATCATAACCATACATAAGTGTTACAACCAAATATATCATAACCATACATAAGTGTTACAACCAAATATACCATAACCATACACAGTGTTGCAACCAAATATACCATAACCATACACAGTGTTGCAACCAAATGTATCATAACCATACACAGTGTTGCAACCAAATATACCATAACCATACATAAGTGTTACAACCAAATATACCATAACCATACACAGTGTTACAACCAAATATACCATAACCATACACAGTCAAATAAAACACAATCAAAAATTGAGAGTTTTCTAGAGCTGATACAATTTTCTTTAAATGAACCAATAAATAAAAGGGAAAATTAAAAAATATCTCATCATTTTTAAAATAGTTTCATCTGGATTTCAAATCATTAGCAAACAGCAAAACTTTTAATCCAAACATTTGTACAATTTTTAAGATATAAATGTTGAAGTACTACATTCTCTGCAACATTATAACTGATAAAAAAAATTCTGGATATGAAGAAATAACACTTGAGCAGTGAGTTTATTTCTTAGTGTGGTAAAACCACATGTAAACTTTAGGGAAGACTGATGCTCTCTAGACCCAAAACTAATAACACAAATAAAGATTACATCAATAGTTCACACACATATATACTGGAGCTTCAAGATTGTTTAGCGTACATAACAAAATTATAAGAAACTATTCCAATGATATACAACTTAAAAAAACAACAACCGACATTTAGATCTGAAACGTGACAATTATTTTGGCCTTTATTACCATGCTTAATTAATGTTTCATAGTAATATTTATACTTAACTGTTAATATATACAGTAAATATATAGTTATCATATTAGAAGACAAAGACTGCTTGAGTTACGTGTATGTTTCATAAACTTTCTGACACATTTGAAATCCATATATCACAACTATTTGAATCAACAGTCAGACCCATCTGTACAATGGGTAACAAATGTTATTTTTTTAAGTGATAGTCTTCAGCACTTCACAGTTTAACACAGCACTTGGTGTGTTGGGGTCTTCTGGAAGAAAATAAAACTGCTCTTCAGAAAGGTCCTGCAAGTTAATTTGTCATGGACCGTCACAGTTACTAACATCTGAAATTAAACACACAATTTCCTGCAAGAGGTGTAACCTAGCTGTGTTAATATTTTGACAGCAAATGAAGGCCAGAATATACCAGGCATATGGAATTCATGGCTCTCTCTCACATGCTCAATGGTACAACAATGTAACAAGCTTTGGTAACAATGTAGCAGACTTTGCAACGAAATTGGTATTTCCTCTTCATCTTCTGGGGATAATTCATGCTCCTTGTACTTCCCTGGGGATAATTCATGCTCCTTGTACTTCCCTGGGGATAATTCATGCTCCTCGTACTGCCCTGGGGATAATTCATGCTCCTTGTACTGCCCTGGGGATAATTCATGCTCCTCATACTGCTCTGGGGAAAATTCATGCTCCTCATACTGCCCTGGAGATAATTCATGCTTCTTGTACTGCCCTGGGGATAAGTCATGCTCCTTGTACTGCCCTGGAGATAATTCATGCTCCTTGTACTGCCCTGGGGATAATTCATGCTCCTCATACTGCCCTGGAGATAATTCGTGCTCCTTGTACTGCCCTGGGGATAATTCGTGCTCCTTGTACTGCCCTGGGGATAATTCATGCTCCTCATACTGCCCTGGGGATAATTCATGCTCCTCATACTGCCCTGGGGATAATTCATGCTCCTCATACTGCCTACAAATCAACAGAAAGTTATCCTTCTGTTTCCACAAGAAAATAATGTTTTGTCATTATATTTTGAGAAGATGGATTCATTGGAGAATTCATCATCATGTAAAGTGTGTGCCAGTTGAGCTGAGCATTATAGAAGATAAGTAACAAGTAGGTGATAGTTTGAGTGTAGGTGTGATGAAATTACATTCATCGTACACAGATAATACGTTAGAACAGCCTCGTTTTGTACGTTTTAGAAACATAATATAACTCCTCATTAACAAAATAGGAGAAAAACATATTCCATGTATGTTTTCTCATTTCCTTTGTCTTTGATATGTTTCTGTAAAATCACTTTACTTCTCTAAGAGTTTAGCATGATTTTCAAATTCTGTATTTATGGAACACATTGTTCACCAAGAGAGTCACCAGAAGATGTAAAATCTGAAAGCTTTATGGCTATTGGTGAAAAGCTAGAATCTGAAAAAGGACACAAAAGATTGAAAATTAATGAACAGTACGATCAAGAGAAAAATATCAAACATTAAAGAACTTGGTATTAGTGTAATACTAAGAAGACAAAAAAACAACAACTCCTAATCACATTTTCAGTATGAATACTTGTGTTTAACAAAGAAAGCAGTATTCTTTTATTTTAAAACAATTCCAATAACTGGAAGAGTTATTTCAAAATTACTAAGTCATTGAATAATGTAAAGAAAACACCTAAAAATAATCAGTAAATTATCTATGTACAGAACAACTAATTAATAGATACTCTTATTATCATTGTAAATAATTTAATAAAAAACACGTGTATAAATTAAACTCAAGACCTCTTTAATGTTTTAAACTTAAAACAAGATGAGAAACCATTTAATAAAATAAGTAGAACACTTTAATGAATAATCCAATATTAAATCATATTTGCATACTCTGAAACTAAGAGTGCAAATCTTAAATTTTGAAAAGGAACAAAAAGATTGTATAAAGATATGATAACCAACTTTATCACCTGTCTTCAAATGGAACATTCTAAGGATAATAATACAATGTTAGCATGTTCTAAAAGTTTAAATGATGAAAGTTGAGTTCTCTAGCTGGTTTCACATTGGCTAAGGACCACACTACAACTAGTACTAAACATCACCACAACTGTTTCATGCTTGTTCCACAGGTCATTAAAGTCGGCCATACATCAATTAACCTTCCGAAGAAAACATGTATTCTTCAGTTAATTTAAGAATATTAACTGTACTAAAACACACATGTGGATTGTGATTTCAAAGTTTTCTCTAAAACTTACACACACACATACATATATAAACTGAAATATACTCGTCAACTGATGGTGAATGTTTAAACTTAATTAAAACAATGTAAGTTTAACAGCAATTATATATTTCAAAGTAATAACTTGAACATAAACTTTATCTCAAAATTTTATAATTATAACAAAGCTTCTTCATAAACAACATTTGTAGTTTGATTCCCACCTACCAACAAATAAAGATTTTGAGGTGATTCCACCCTTGAACACCCAACATCTCATTGACCATGAGAAAAGCATGGTTGTTTGAGAAACAATCCAGCAACTTTCATACTTTGACCTTGAATCCCTTTAGAATATTCAACAATGTTTAAAGTGTCAACCTGCCAAGATTGTTTGAAATTGACTTGATAGGTTGGGAGTAATTAACCAACAGGCTTTAGAAAATATAAATAGGGTTAAGGTAAATTTTGACCTCCTTAGAACATTTCCCATAGTTCATAGTATTCACGAGAAGTTTCGGCTGAGATTGGCCTAAGAGGCTCGCAGGAGTTAGGATACAAACAAACACATGTTTCGTCTTTATGTATGTATGTGTGTGTATATATACTGACTGTTATTTTATTGAGATCTCCAACTTGTAAAATATCATTACTTTGTGTGTTCAAAGTATTCAGATCTTGTGATGTGCCAGGTAAATGTTTCAGCCCTACATAGGTAGCAATCTGTAAGAAAATGAATTGGAGCAAGGGTCATTTCACCTTTCTAAGGGATATTATATTAGTAATAAGATGAGTGTCATTCTCAAGGACTGGATGTTCAAAGACATCTTGTCGGAGCCTAAGAAAGGAAATAAGGAAATACTATAAAAATCACGGATGCTTATGATCGAGAAATGGAAATAAACACACGACTGGACAAACTTGTAAAGTGTAACAGGTGACAGACTGAGTCGTATCTGACTAGCTCCATCAGTAGTAGTCACAATGCAACTATTTTAGAGAACGTAACAAAACTGTCATATGACAACTGAAAACCAGTCTGAATGCTGCTTATCTCAGAGGTAAATAGACAAGCTCACAAATTATGAACAATGAATGAGTTAAAGCATGTGCCACTCGATCCTGATTATGTTGCATACTGCTGGAAGTGATGTAAACAACATTCTTGTATTAGGGATGAACATTTACCACATAATGCCACGTTTCCACACGAATGGAGAAAGAGAAAAACAATAATGGAACAATTTACCACCCCACACATTAATTGTATTAGTAAAATGTTTTTATAACTATTCAACTTTAATGAATTTCCTCCTATATCTTATTAACAAATAACTTTTCTTTTTTTAATACATCGTGTAACTTCCAATATTTATGGAAACAATGTGGATAATAGAACTTTTGAAGTTTGTTCTTCAAAACCTCCAAGAATGTGAAACTTTTGAGTTTTATACTTACAAGCATGAATGTCGTCTTTATCAAAAGTTGAGCTAATAGTTTTGTGTTGTTTTAACAGCTTTTTGCAAAATAACTCTCATAAATATCATGAATGATAATTTACGTGAGAAATTATAATTTCTGTCATTTGTGACACCATAACAACTGTACAATAGTTATTAAAAGTTCGCTTATATGTACCAAGCACAATGGATTTCACTATAATTATGCATTTTCAAAGCTTCTTTAAAATCATATATTTTTTCACATTATAGATATAAAACAGGTAAGCTGCATTCCCTCTGGTGTATCACTAGAAAATTAGAGATAGATAGTGCAGATAGCCCTGTCGTAGCTTTGTGTGAAATCCAAAACAAACTGTAGTTTAGAGACATTAAATGTAAGGTTTGAATACTTCAAAAAAACATGATATTGTATCATATCAAATATTTTTTTGCTAATACGTCTCTTGTATCCCAGCAGGCCTGCAGAGAACTATGTTAGTGGACGAATGGTTTCGTCGATGCTGGCTATATATATATATATTGTTATGCCTCCAGTCGTTAATTGATTTTCCCTAACTTC